ACAAAAAAAAATGGAAATAAATAAATTTTTCCTTGTCCTTTATAATTATTGATCTGCTAAATTACACGGAAGTGAAATACCGTGTGGCACTGCAAATTAATTATGTGGGAATTTTAGTTACGATATGGTCACGGGATAAACTGTTTTGTAGTTTTCTTGCGAGAACTAATATGAACCACTTGTAAAGATAATTTTTTTTCTTGATGGAATTTGATAATTTTTGCTTCAACAAGTTGCATGTTAAATTAGATTTTGTGTTTATTATAGCGTATACAATCAAAAGGAGAAACCAACATTCAACTCAGCTTAAATAACTGATATTTCTTACTTTGCAATTAAATTAACAAGGTTCTACTGAGTTAACTTAAAAGTTGATTGATTTGATTCTCTCCAATACTCCGGCCCAATTCGCCTATAAATTCGAAGTTTCTGTCCCATAATGACCATAATCAATATTGCAGTATGTGTTTCCAAGGGAATCAAGTTTCGTGGTACTTCTGTGGATCGTGCAAAAAAGCCCGCGAAACGACCCACAGAAATTGGAATCTATCCATACCAGTACCTCGTATAGTCGGTAATTGTTTTCATCGTGTTTATGTCCCCACGCGCGTCGTCTTTGTTTGAAGAGTAACTGGTGGTGACATAAACTACGGTACAGTATTGCAAAGTGTAGCCTGTTCGGAGACGTTGACGCTGTGATTGGGTCTATGATTCGACATTATTTTTCTCTACCTTTTACATGGAGTATCTCTACTCAGTTCTCTAGGCGTTTCGAGACAGCAATTTGATGCGAAGGGAAGGAGGCAAAAGCAGATACCCTTACCGACTTTTTTTGGGTATTCAATGTAGCGTATTTTATTCTTCGGATTTTCACTGAGATTTTTTTTTTTTTTTTTTTCAATTCGGTCACCCAAACAAGCCTTTTTATTTTCAGGATAGAGTCACTACGTTAGATTGTGTACAGTCTGCAGGCACAACGCCGATCCCAAAACTTGTTAATACGCGAAGTTGACGTAAAATAATCAGGATGACCGAGGAAGCAGACAATCAGTTGTGTTCATAACAATATAATTCATCTTTGTCTCATTAACGTAGATAACTGGCTAAAATGTTCTCCGGCCCACATAAGATATTACTTAGCAAAATATATAATTTACAGATACTGGATGCTGATCAAGTAACTCAAGTGAGGAGCCGGGATAAAGTTGCAAAATGATGTTAAGAGGTAACATAGCTCTGTTATCCTGCCTTCCCTGCATTAATAAGACACATTCACAATTTTGAAAAAATTTTAGCAAATACGTTTCACCTTCTTACTTCTTGCTTTAGAAATGTGCTTCCATGTTAATTTAGAAATTGATCAATGGATCACCGACACGAAGCAGCTGACGCACAGAGCAGAAAATATCATGTTGAAAACTTCCGTGATTCATACTCTTATCGCTTCACAGGAGCTATTGAGCAGTTTTCGTCAGTTCCCTTAATACTAGCCGGAGACTTTTAAACTTCATTTGTATCGTAAACCTTCGCTACTCTATACCATTTTATCTTTATATTCTGCTTAACAGAATATGAACCTATACAGGAAATGCATTCAGTCTTTGCTCATCCAAAGTTGCGGAAACAGTTGGTGGGAACTTTATAAGGTAAGATTTGTACGTGGGACAGTTTTTGTTGTCATTATTACATCACATCCTAACGTCGTTCAGTTTAGGTTTCGTATAATTCTGCCTGCATCTAATTACGCCTCACTCAACTGGGCTTGTACAGTCATTATTGCGACAGGGCAAAGCGTAGCAGGCGTGGATCTAGGACAAATACTGGCCATGCTTAAAATTGATTGGATTTTAACTCCCTAAAGTCCCTTTTCCTGAGTTCCTGAGTTATTTAGGAAGGATATTGACCAGTTAAGCCTAGCAAATCAGCAGATTATTTAATCTCTAGATTTCAACTTGGAAATTTTTTTTATTATTATCAATAATATATTTATCAGTATAAAAAAAAAATGATCGATTTCCGTAAAATGGTGGGGAAACCGGAGTGGATCCGTGCGCCTGCGTAGTTTGTGAGTGTTAATGACGATTTACAAACGTGTTCTCTCGAAAACTTTATTATACAAAAAAAGAAAATGTAATGGTGGTTATGACACTTCAACGACCCGTGAAGGATTACAGAAAAAGGTAAAAGCGCGCAGTTTTGTTTTTGATATATATCGTTACAATTTTCAAGCCTCTTCTCAATGGAGTTTTATCCATTCCTCCAACACTAACGTAAGTATTGAGTAAATATTTTTCTTGATAATGCATACCGTGTGACACGAAATTTTTGCCGAATTTTATTTTTGCAGATTGGAGATTTTTTTGTATTTTGCGGGAACTACTATTTGCGATTAGGACGGATTGGGATTTTTTGCCGCTGGGAATTAATTTTTGCGATTTTCAGAAAGTCCAAGACAAATAATTGATAATATTTGATTTTTGTTTTTATTGAGAAAGTGCAACAAAAATGCATATTTTTTAAAGGATACTGCGGTGTTCGTACCGTACCGTGTAAAACCAGCGACAGTTTTGCTCGTCATTTTAATCGTTTTGTTTCTGAACGAAAGAGGCAAGTTGTAATTGAAAAGACAAAATTTCTTAGCATTTTTGTGTGTAGCGAGTCTAAGTTTGAAAATATTTACACTCTGGAATAAAAAAAACTCTCAGAAGGAAGAGTGTAATATGCTACGCATATAAAAATGAATGAAAGGGTTAGTTTGGCCTCTTCTTAGTATTGTATACGTATTTTAGACGTTTCCGTCCGTCACCGTTGTTGTTTCGTAAGGTCGTAAGGCCGTGGGGCTGGTTATCCGAACAGCGTTGATGAAGTCAATAAGGTGGAGAATTCAGACCGTCTCTTAAACTAGTTCAGGGAGAAATGAACGCAGGAATTCGAAATCACAGAAATATATCAAACAAGCCGCTTTCTCAGGTAAGTAACGTTCAGTCAATGTGTTTAAAGTGAAGGAATCAGTAAGTGGTAAGACTATGAGCCCGTCACTGGTTAAGTCTCGTTGTTAAATGTTGCTTACATGTCTCGAAATCTTTACTCTGACTCAAAAGGTCCGTTCTCCAAAAACCCCATGAAAACTCAGAAATTCAGAAGTTCTTAAGCTTTTTGGAAGCTTAAAGGAGCTGTGTCACGAAATTCAGCCAAATTAGGACATTACAAAATGCCCGTGAAATTAAGAGAAACAAAAAATAACCGCTTAAAACTTTAAAGGAAGGTTAAAGAGACATAACAGAAACAACAGATGCCACGGATGGGCAAAACTGAAGAACAGTGAAACGGATTGAAATAAGGGTTTTTGAAAACTGTTCAGCCTAACAGTTTTTCAAAGTTGATCCCTGCTGCTTGCAACTTCAAAAATAATGACAAATTTGTTTTTCTCGGATCTCTGATTTTGTCATTTACATGTAATTTCTTTGCTTACTTTAAGTTCCACAGCGATTGAGGGCGAGTAATTGGCAAAATTAAACAAACTGAACTGGACTGCCGTGACACAGCCCCTTTAAAACATTCCCTTTTTCGGGGCGAAAACTGGTTAGCTACACCCGTTCAAATTTTACTTTTAGCATTACTTTATATCTCTTAGATATCATGCCTCGAAATACCAAGAAAAATTGGAGAGAAAAATAATCAGGCTTTTAGAATGGTATTGAGAGTCTCCTTTAGCCGCCTTTAAAGTTTCAGAGTCAATTTTGGGAACATGAAGAAATCTTAGTTCTCACTTGTAAATTGCGTCTGTATCCTGGCATGCTATGGTGTGACCTCGTTGATATGGGGCTATAATACTGGATTTTTCAGTGTAAAAAAGCGGCGTGCAGTAAAGTAAGAAAGCAAAGAGATTGATTAATAAGAGCCACTAACGATGGCATGGAAACTCTTTCAAATGCCATACATGCGAGGTTTACCTTTGTGGAAATTTCTCCCCTTCTGTCTTTGAACAAATACATGAAATACAACAAAGGGAACAGCAGATGATTCATTGGTCAACTGAGACACGTTCTAACCAATCATCAGGAAGCTCAACTTGTTATTGCATCATGTCATTTATTAGTCTCGAACAAGCCATTTCTTGATACTGTGCAAAAACAAATGTCTTCTCATAAGCAACCATGCTATTGGTCGATGTAAAAATCCTCGACATCCGTATTTACTGCACACGTAACCTCTTTTCAAACGTGTTTGTAACATAAAAGTGTAATGTTGATTCAGTACGGATAAATAGCTCTTTGGTATAGCAGAAATATTCATTCTAATCTCAGCTCCTAGAGTCCGACTGCAGCAACACTAAAACTGAAAGGTTAGTAATAAATTCGTTTTGCTTCTGATTTATTTTTCCAAAGCATGATTTCTCGATCGGTTTTGATTAACTTTGGAAAAGGCTGAAAAACTCATTTATTTCAATTTAATTATTTTATTTATTTATTTATTTCCCATTCCATTATAGATAGTACTAGATAGATTACAGACAACGTTAGTGCTTGAGTCATAGAGAGTTTACAATACGTGATAAAATACAGTTAAGATCATTACATTTAAATACTTTTTTCACAAAGAAGCCAAGAAAAAAAAGGCCAGAAGCGCCGATATTTGCTGGGCAAAACTTCTTAAAGCTCAAGCTTGCAGAAAATCGCCGGCCAGTACTCGAAAGGCCGATGGACTATTCAGAATGCCAAGTTTTTTCGTATTTTTAAAATAAAAATCATTCAATACAAGCCACAATACGAATATCAATTTTAATGTTAATATTTTCTAAATATTAAAGTAAATAATTATAATGAATTAAAATATTTGTTTAATTTATTTTTGATATTTGAAATTAATAAAACTTAATATATTTCTGTGTATAGAAACCAGCACGTTGCATTATCAATGATATTGTGTCACTCAGTGACTTACTCTTTAACACGCTTTTTTTCCAGGACCAAAGATAAAAGGAAACCAAAGAGAGTAGTATGAAACAACCACTGTACATCGCGATTTATGCCCTGTTGATTACTTTGTGTTCCACGAAAGGCAACAGCAGCAGCAACAAAACCCCTGCGAAAGAGGTATATTACAAATTAAAACAAAAGTTTTGAATTTCTATTTCTGATCGAACTTCTGGCCCATCGTTTTGACAGAACTATCAAATCTACATGACACTTTTCCTGATTACCATAAACTGCCGCTTATAAGCTAAGTTCTGTGCTTATATTATACATCTTGATGAGGGGTTTAAGCAAGGCTTATCAACGGAGACCGGCTTATATCTGAGGGGGATTATAACCGGTCGGACTAGAAAAAGGACATCGGCGTGAAACAAGCTATAGCAGTGCTAACCAAAGTACTTTTTGCATTTACTGGTTTTAAATTAAGCTCCAAAACTTTATAAAAAATCGAATTAATTTCAATACAAGCTAGAGGAGGGCTTACATCCGGGGGCTTATAATCGGAGGTATTTTTTTGTTTACATCTAGATGGGCCTATAACTGGGGGGGGGGGCTTATCAGTGGGGAAGGGGTCGGGGCGGGGGGGTTATAAGCGGCAGTTTACGATATTTTACGGGATGCAAGATGGTTAGTAGCGGATCCAATGACTGGCCACACAAATGAGTTCCTCTGTCGAGGGCTCTCGGAACCACAACATCATACCCGCCAGTCAGAGAATTAACTACAACAACAAAATGCGGAATTCAACGGAGGCCGAAGGTCATGAAGTTTTGTAAAGCAAGCTGTAAAGCACAAGAAGCTTTTGCGTATTATTAAAGTGAATTTTCCCCCTAAGTTTCAGTTTCAGCCGTTGAATGTCCGTCGTTGGACGTAGGCCCTCTCCATGACATCGAGTGGACCACGTTTTGCACGTTTTGTTTGAACGTTTTGTGTTTTAAGGGAAACTATCTAAACCGTCCCTCCATCTCGTCCTTGATCTTCCTTGGTTCCTTGCGTGTCCCCCTCACCTGGGAACATATAAAATATTCTTTCTCAGAAGTCAACAACCCCATTGTTATTTCTAATCCTACTTCCAATCTCCAATACGTCGTGTTACGATATAAGTGACAGCGACAACAGGAAAGAAAAAAATCACATATTTTCAGGCTACTTTTTCCCCTTTACTCAAAGCAGTTAGTCTGCTGATTTATTGACCAACTAATGCGTTCATGCTCCTTAATAATAGTGTACCCAACAGACATCATTTGGGTCATGTGGTCACAGTGCTTGCTGCTCCTCACCAGGAATTCCAGGGATCCCAGGAATCCCTGGACCCGCGGGATCACCCGGCAATCGTGGACCTGAAGGACCCACGGGCCCAAGAGGAAACCCAGGTGATAAAGGATCTCATGGGAAGCAAGGACCTAAAGGAGATACAGGACTCTCGGGTTCGACGGGTCTACCAGGAAGCAAAGGTGAACCGGGGATCCAAGGACGCCCTGGACCCGCTGGACCATCCGGCAAACAAGGACCTAAAGGAACAAGGGGACAAACAGGAAACAAAGGGGACAAAGGATCTCGTGGAACGCAAGGATCTAAGGGAGACACAGGACCCTCGGGACCAGCGGGTCAGGCAGGAAGCAAAGGTAAACCAGGTGCTCGTGGTATCCAAGGTCCCCAGGGAACTCCTGGTTCTGCAAGTGCCTTGCGAAGTAATTGGAAACAGTGTGTATTTAAGAGTATAAATGATGGCAGAGACACTGGCTTGATCAAGGTAAACACTTAACTCTTAATATATTTATGTCACTGAATATTGCGCTTTTTGTCTTTGGATATAGGCGTGAATCGCCCTGACAGGATTTCGTACTATATTCCTGCAAATAGATTGAACTGGGGAAAGTAAAGTCTTGATACTAAAATACTGCTCTAGAACGAACCGTAACTATTCAATAACTTACAATTCAACTCAACACTTTTTTAAGCCATCCCTATTGCTAATCTTACATTTTATTAAATGCTATTATTACTCAGAATTTTCTTTCAATATTATTTTAGAAAGAAAGTCATATAACCATAGATAGAATAGCACCATAGCTCCGTCATACAACCATAGATTAAAAGCTGTACGCTTTTTAAAGCATTGGCAGATAAAAAGGTAAAGAGGAAGAAGATAAACGCTACAAAGCATCACGCGAGGCCGTTAGCTTAGGCCATTATAAAAATGTTCAATTTAAGCGTTATTTCAGACGTGAAAAAAACAGCGTACAGATGACAGATGAGTAAGAAAGCAAAGATTAATTAATAAGAGCCAATAAAATGGCATGGAAGCTCTTTTAAACGCCATACATACGAGGTTTAGCTCAGTGAACATTTCTCGCCATCTGTCTTTGAAAAATTTCCTGAAGTACAACAAGGGGAAACAGCTGACAATTTATAGGTCAACTGAGACATGTTCTAACCAATCATCAGGAAGCTCAACGTGTTATGGCATCATGTCATTTATTAGCCTCGGACGCGGCCTTTTCATGTCATACTGCGCAAAAACAGATGCCTTTTTGTATAAGCAACCATGTTAAATATTGGTCGATGTAAAAATCCCTGATATCCGTATTTACTATACAGGTAACGAGGAAGAAGATAAACGCCACAAAGCTTCACCAGGCCGTTAGGCCACTATATGAATTTTCAATTTAGGCGTTATTTTAATCATTCCATAGGAATGTATTTTCAAGAAAACATCCGACAATACAGCCTTGCGAGTCTTCTGGAATGGCGATTTCCGTGTCACTAACTGCCACGACTGCTGCCATCGGTGGTACTTTACCTTCAATGGTGCAGAATGCTCGTCCCCGGCAGCCATTGATGGTGTATTTTTAGTGTATCATAGCACTAGCATGAAAAGGAATCCACATCGCCCACGTCACATTGAAGGAATCTGCGAGAAGCTTCATAAGGGCACGGTCCGCGTGGGATTCTGGGTCGGTAAGTGCCCTGGTGGTATGAAAACTGGCGACGCGTATACAGGCTGGAACTCAGTCTCCAAGATCTACATAGAAGAGGTGGCTCCCCCACAGCCGTAACTGAAGCAGCAGCTCAATGACTTTTCCATATTTTTTTGTGTGTGTTAGATTCACTAACACTGTTACGGAAAGGTTAAATGAAAAGTTCAAGAAACTCAAAAGAAATAGACAGACAAAATGAAGTAAATGTAGCCAGATGATACGGAGTATATTTGTGTTAGTACTTTTTTATTTCTGTTTGTCATACCAGCAAGACGTGTGTGTAATAATAAAGAAGTAGCTGTTCACTGCTATTTCTTGTTAATTTATTGTGGTTGAGGGTATAGTTTCTTTTAAGAACTGACAAAAAATGCCCGTAGATTTCCTCTTTTCTTACATGAATCTCGTCCCCAGGGCAATTCCATTGGAATTGGATGAGTAGGACATACCGTGTGGCACGAAATTTTTGTGGGAGTGATATGTTTGCAGATTGGCGATGATTTGTGTTTTGCGAGAACCGATTTTTGCAATTAAGACAGATTGATTTTTCGCTGAGAATTATTACTTTTTGCGATTTTCAGAAAGTACCCAGTACACACATTGATAATATTTTCGTTTTTGTTGAGTACGTGCAATAGAAATACATATTTTCAAACAATACTACGGTGTGCGTACTCTATGTAAAACCAATATTTCATTGGAATGTGTACCGCTTTGTTTCTGAACGGAAGAGACAAGTTGTAATTTAAGAGACACGATTTCTTAGTACTGTATTTTTATGTAGCGAATTTCAGTTAGAGAATATTTATTCTGGAGTACGCTTTTGCGGGAAAATTTTTTGCGGTAATTTTTATTTGCGGGAACTTATTTTTGTGGTAGAACCCCCCAAAATTTCGTGCCGCAAGGTAGGACATATACCCTTGGTACCAGAGGTTTTTTCTCGCGCGCGACGAGGAGCTTCGTCTTCGGCTGAACCGAAACCGGAAACCGCGCATGAAAAGCCTCTAGCACCCAGGATATAGGACATAGGACATGCACTTAATTTAAATTGTGGCAATTTCCTTTTGATACGGCCAGTTTACAGATATCCCAAGAATAATGTTAAGCTAAAAATTAGTATTAATAAATTTAAATATGAAATTTTAAATTCATATTAATAACTACTAACTGTAATGATAATAACCTCTTAGTGTTTTTTAGACCACAGCGCCACGTCTTGTACAAAAAGTACCTGTAAAAGGTTAATAGTAGAGCGTCCATAGCTACACCTATCCATGCGAGAAAATTTGGTTTGACGTCAGCAAACGCAAGACTGACCACCCGTATTGACTGACCGGGAGGGAATGGGTAGACACGAATTCCTCCCCTCCTCCCCTAGAGAGCTTTTAGTCCCCTATTCTTTCAAAGGGCTTTGGAAAAGAATGACCAATCAGGATCTGTCTACTGGGTATATATAATAGTATAGATAGTGTCAACATCCATGTGCGACCTCCTCCCATAAGCGACCAGCTATCCAAAACACCAAAATTTTCCCAGTCAAATCCTTGCAGTAAGAACCTCTAGAAAACGACTACCTCCTGTAAGCGACCACGACCACTTTTTCGGCCTGCGTTTAATGATTTTCCTTTGTTTTTAATCTCTTGTAAGCGACCACTTGACACTTTCTCCGATCTCTATGTTCACTGTGTGTACTATGCTACTTAGCCTGCAAACAGCACCGCATTTCCGGTCGTGACGACCGTAAATGCGTCTGCTGTTCGCAAGCGACAACATGGAACTACACATGGCGCAGCTTAGACATGGCTTGCAATTCAATTATCTTCCATAAAATAAATGTGTCTGAATCTCTTCTCGGAAGAGACCCTTCGTGGTCCGATTCTTGTAGGTGAGTGTCTCCCTCCTCCGCAGAGGCCTCTCTGTATCGTAGGGAGGGCTGGAGCAGAGAGCCTTCGTGTATGTCGTGATATCCTCACTTAAAATTAATGTTTTCGGGTCTTTGCAAAAACATCTGTTTAAAGGAAAGTGAAGATTGGCGTAAAGTTATTTCAAACAAAATTATTGTCACGCTTGTCACACAAGGTTTACCGTCTTCCTTCCCCGCCCGTCCTGTTGCGTAAGTTCACTGTTAGGCCAAGGGGTCAAGTTGGTTTGAACATTCAAACTTTGATTGGAAATAAGGCTTGGTGGTCCTGTGGTTTAACTCCTTGACATATTGTGTCACCTTACTTGAAGTAGCTAGTGGTCAGGAAGGTATTTTCGTCACAAAAAACACAAACAAAGATGGCGACCGGGTGGACACAATTTCAGCCTTGGCAAAATCAGCCTCTTCCTCCAGGCTGGGAAGCGAGATATGATGCAAACGTCAGAAGATAGTAAGTATCCTCGAACGAACGGCTAATGTATTTTGCAGGACGGCTTTTAAGAAAATAAGGCTGACCTCCTTGAGATACAATATAAATTCCGGTTTCCGCTGAATCGAATTCGAGCAGCCGTCGCTCGTTACCACCAAAAACACGAATCAAATGTCTATTTGGAAAATATTAACAGCTTTCTGCCATCAGTTCTCTTAGATATTTCACTTGAAATGTACTGTAACATAATTACCACCCTGACTTGCATGATTTTCACGCTTTTTTTTGTTGTCATCTCCAACTTTATAATTTATGAAACTTATGTATCGGTCAAATCGAAGCTTCAACATCCCCCCCCTGGCAACCCCCGGGCATTTGACTTTTTTTGAAAATTATTGTTCAAATTCCCCCCTACCTGGGCCAAAATGCCGTTCAAACGCCCCACACTATGCTCCATTCAGGTGATCAAATGCCCCCACCCAGGGGACATTTCACAGGCACATAAATGACGGAAGGACATCAGAAACGCCTACAGTTGTCGAACAAAACCTTTGTACAGCAAATAATCCGCATTCAAAATAACAAAAACTGAGAAACACTGTTAGCGTAATTACTAAGAACAAAAGTCTTGTGTAAAGCGGTGGAAATCGCTGCTACAAGGTCACTGAAGGCTCAGAGTTTCTTCATGTGTCATGCAACATACAAAGCGTTCTTTAGAAAAAATCCCACCTATTGAGATTACTACATCATGTCAAATTCACTGACATGCATCATCGCTCACTTGAATTGCGGTATATGTATTGTAATTCGTTATAAACACAACTTAATACATTTATTTATTCAAAGCCTGAATCCAATATTAAAAATATTAAAATTTAAATACCTTCAAATACGGCACAAAAACCTCGTAACCAATTGGCCACAAAGACACAATCTTTTCCACGAAAATCCTCTAACAGCGCGTCCCCCATGACAACTCGTCATACCAGAAATTTCACATGAATATTGAGGGTGCAGTTCAAATTCCCCACCCCTAACGCATGGGGATCAAATTCTCCATCCCCTGGAAGACTGATAATCAAATTTCCTCCTCCCTTGGACGGCGAAGGTGTCAAATGCCTGAGCTATGCCGGAGGGGGGGATGTTGAAGCTTCGATTTGACCGATACATTAAGCTTATTGTTTCCGTAACAGTGAGTAAACATTCATAAAAAGATCAATAAATAAAATAATACTTAAGGCTAACCACGGTAAGCTAGAGATCAAAAGTTTTAAGCTTACCGTATGTTTGTTTAATAGAAGATACAGTCGACTCCCGATAACTCGAACCCTCGCTAACTCGAACCAAAATCGATTTCCCCTGGATTTCCGACACACATTGACTGTAATTTTACCCTTGGTAATTCGAACCCTCAATAACTCGAACTCCCGCTAACTCGAACCAATTTTTGTGTCCCTTCAGGTCATTTTCTATATAGTTTTACCCTCAATAACTCGAACCATGTTTTGAGCCCTTAAAAAGTCAGGAAAAAAGCCGTCTACTGGCGTCCGAAACATTGAATTTTGCATTTCCTATTGACGTGTTGTAGGAGTATAGTTTACTAGTGCAGGCTAATGTTGATTGTCACAGGCTAACGTGAAGCAGTGTTTCTTCTCAAAACAGTAAAACGCATTCTGTATTTAGGCTACGTTTTGTTGCATTACATTCTGATTTATAATCTAAAAGTTTCTTTTAATTTTCACTTGACATTTCTACAATTAAATGTGATTAAAATGTTCACTGTGCAGTAAAAACTGTTTTTTACCTTACTCTCGGCTATTCTCTTCGAACTCCCGGTACTCGAACTCGTGATAACTCGAACCTTTTTTTGATTTCCCTTGAAGGTTTGAGTTATTGGGAGTTGACTGTACAACGTTAACAGCTGATTTATGATCCTGAGTCATTGATAATGTGAATTTGATTTTAATATTTTGGTGTAATTTTGTTGTGACTTTTTAGCTATTTCATTGACCACAATACGCACAAGACAACTTGGGAGGACCCTAGGATAAAAAAAACAGAAGCCATTCCTATGAGCCAATTCAAGGTGAAATGGAAAGGATACTTAACACAATGAGGGATAGCCTCCCATGCAGGCATTTTTAGGGGAGTTGTATTTCCTCCCTTCCCAAAAGAGGAAAGGAGGAAGGGAGGAAATATGGCCTCTGCGAGGGAGGCTAATTAATAAACCTTGCCTGTGCTCAGAAGAATACAGGCAATACAATTTTGTATCCTAATCAGTGGTTTTGTTACCCCTCAAAAATTAGTTAGATAAATTGGCCTGTGGCATCATGGTTTCAAATTATTTTATTTTACAACTGTGGAAAAACTGATGAAACCTTCACACTTTGGTACAAGGGTTAATGTTAATGTTGAATTGTGTGTTACAAGCTCTAGAGTGGCTCAATTTGTCATTTCCCTGATTTTTTGCAGTATTAAAATGCAACATCAAATTTACTCACATCATTCTGTTCTAAATCGCATCATTTCTATTCTATATTGCACCATGTTTGCTTTTTTGTTTTGCATACAAAATGAAATGTAGAAACCTTTTGTTTCCACTTTTCAGCAAACTGGCTACAGATCAATATAAGTTTGGTACTGAAATAAACTGAATTCTGCTATTTAATCATAGCTGTAATAAAGTGGTAATTGAACTTTGTGTCATGTAATTTTGGTCTGAAATCATACTTGTGAGTTTCATGGTTCATACAATCTTGAAAAGGTCTTAAATTTTACTAGTTGTCTTAAAAAGTCCTTCAATTTGGTTTAGGACTTAAGGTCCTTGAAAAGTACTTGATTTCTTTATTAGGGTCAGTTGAAAAGTCCTTGAAATTCACAACCTTGTCTACACCAGAGACCTTTTCTGTAAAATTAGATTATTTTGGCGAGGAAAATTTGGTTCATCCTCGGTGTAAGAACCTGTAAAACGCACAGGTGACGTAAAAACATTTTTGTGCATGAACAATATTTTATTACTGTTTCTTTATTTCAAATGCTAGTTCTGTACCCAAGTCTTAGTCATACCCAGTCACTCTGCAAAGTCTTCTTGCAAAAAGTAGAAGGCTGATTTAGCAACAGAACGGGAACGTCAGTTGATGATGGTATGCGCAAATCAAAGAACTGGTTTGACCAATGGCAGACTAGCAAATTGAGCACCGGAAGTCATGTTTAGTCCTTTCCTTGCGCTTTCCCGTCGTCAACTGACGTTCCCGTCCTGTTGCTAAATCAGCCTAGTATAAAATAATGTGATCAATGATGGCCGAAGAAATACAACTTGTTAATGACTCTATGATGTGTTTTAGCCAATACAGACCGTAGGATGCCGATTTATTAAATAAATCTTAGTTCTTGAAAACTGTAATTTGGCCTTGAAAATTTCTTGAAAAGTCTGTGAAATTTGTTTGTCTGACTTTGTATGAAGCATGGATTTCAAATCGAACTCACAGTAAAATCATGCATATGATTTCAGACCTTATACTACTACATGAGAAATTTCTGCAATTTGATTGGCTTAGAGCAGTGGTATTTCAGCTTAATTTGAAATACCTACATGTGAAAATTACAAAACTATTGGGGGTAGTAGTATAAACAAATAGTAGTATGATTGGTACGTGATATTTGGTATAAATACCACTCGTTATATTTCAAAATAATTTGTCTCAAATTTCACTGGCCTACCGGCTCGTGAAATTACGTATAACAATTCGAAGTATCACTTGTGGTATTTATGCCAAATATCACTACAAATCATGCTATTACCAATACAAATTACCCTCCACTTAGTTCAATTAGCATTATAAATTAAGATGCCCATATATTATTATTGAACATTTGCAACGGTAATTGTAGTTGGTTGTTCTTGTACTGCTACATCTACATGTACTATTACTTTTTTTGTCTTAATGTAGACCTCATCTAAAGCTGATTCAAGCTCCAGTCGGCGGGTAAGATACTCAGTAACTGAGATATTTTGTTCTTCTAGCTGACTTTAAGAATTGGAATGTTTCTTTAGTTTCTGAAACTTATAAGTTGTCATTGTTCTCTGTTTGCCGTGTGTATCAAAAGCAATGTCATCAACCTGGTGTGATGATGAGGTAACTTTTTGATGAAAGTTGGAACATTTTTGTTTTGTTAGTGGAAAAGTTATCTTTCGGAGTGGTACTCAGTATTTTAGACTGTCATGGTTAAGTTACTACATTGTATTTATCTATCAATACATGTAAATCAGTAATAAAATTCAATGGAGCCCCATTCCATATCTCGTATCATAATCAAAGGAGTGCACACATACATTGCACCAAAAATTGGCTTAGTAAATAACACTACTCCTAGCTCTTTCTAAATTGCAACTAGTGAATGTTTGTAAAGACTTTTGGTTGGAAAATTCGCTTTAGTTTGTTTTGTTAAAGGGTATTGTTTATTGTTTGTCTCACAGTTGTTACTTGGATATTGATCGCTATGCTTTGACTGTGTACTCCAGGTCTTTGTCACGCAATAGTATCGATTTACTGAGCAGGACTATTTGTATCATGGTGGTTGTTAGTGATAAGTGTACATGTGTATTTAACTTAATAACAGCTTAAGGCTTTACTACTTTGCACGTTATACAGTGTATACTTAATAAGAACAACTGAAGTAGCAAGATGGAATGCCTAAGATACAATCCATATTATTACTATTGTACTTGTCAATGCAGGAGACCAATTTTGGTGGTTCATCTTCACAGGCAGCCTCCAAGGCAAGTATAAATTTTTTCAAAGGGCTATATAGCCTTTTAATTTTTGTTTGCTCTGCCAGTACTGAACTGTCTCCCATTAATTTTTCCCTTCTTCACTGAAACTTTCTATACTGAAATACATTGTACTATAATATAGCTGTGTTGCGGTACAGCATACTGTTTATCCATGTTTGTACAGTTGTACATGCGCATAATTATACTCAGGATAAAATTTTCCAGCCTAGGTTGTTTCCAAGTTAAAAAATTTTAACCAGAATTCAGTTTTGACCTGTAACATATACACTGCACATTAAAGATACATTTCTGTTTTTCTCTGTGCAAGAAGGCATAAAATTTAAAAATGTTTAGAAGCAATCAGAAGGTATTTTGCTGAGGCATATCTGACTCAACCAAAAAAGCAAAATATTCTGTTAATCTCAGGCTTGCTAGCATTTAGGCCATCTGATTTTCTCATATTTTTAAATTATTTTAGTCTCAATATAAAGTCTCTATTTGTAGCAACTGAAGTTTGTAAATTTATCACAATTTTCTTCTTTTGGAGTGATTTTACTTGAACCGTGAAATAGGTAGTAGAATACTATGCACTATTATGCACTAATTCTATTGTCTTCTTTCGTTTAACTCTCGCTATTTTGCACTATTTGTTAGTATCTGTTTCACGGTTCAAGTAAAATCACTCTATCACTGTTTATGTAGCCATGCAACATACATGTGTCGCCTGTTATTATTTTATTGTTAGTTTAAGCCTTTTCTGCTTTTAAAATCTTGGTTCCGGACTTGAACAGGAAGAACTGTCTCGCTCACAGATTTTTAAACCAGGGCCTCAGGCCAAATTTTGGATATACTATCCTTATTCTGCAATACAGTTAACACCTGCAACTCCTGCATTAGCCTAAACAGGTTCTTACATAAATGGTAATTAGCACTTGAATTTAGGCCATTGAATTAGGTTCTTGAATACAGTAGGTTCCTATTTTCTGAAGAAAAAATACATTGTAGCTGAGAGTATTGGTGGTGATTTAAACAGCTCATTCCTTACTAGGTAAACTCAGTGTGTATATCACTACAAATGCAGTTGAAGTATTAAGGCACCTATATCTCCAAAGAGGATCCAGGATGTTGACTTATCTTATAAATTATTTACCCAAGTGTACAGATTTTTTAAAATAGATTTTAGAAAATAAGAACCTGTTTCAAATTTTAGGCTTAACAGGTAAAAATAACTCTTGTATAGAGGGGGCCTAATTCTGGCAAATTTTAGCCTAACATGTTCTTAAAAGCCAGGTTCTTAGTCTTGGGTTCTCACTGGACCCCTATCCCATTAAAAAGCTAAAGTGATTACATTAATTTACATGCATAGCGTGAGCCAGCCCGTCCTTCCAGTCTCCAAGATGATGATGACCTACCATTACCTGAAAGCTTTCTTGCTGAAATGTTTAAGGAGAAGAGCTTTGAAGATAAGGAAAATGGTAAGTTTATAGGTACATGTGTAACCAGATCTTAATACCTTGGTGAATACTCCAAACTACAGATCACTGGCTGTTTTGAGAGAGACACAGGGGAGGGGGTGGCTAACCAATAAGGCAATACAGTAAGAAAAATTGGCAAATTCTAAAATACTGTGTTAAAAATGGGTGAAATACTGATACAGCATTTAAGATCAGTCAGGCTTACTGTAAGTTGTATATCCATCTGGCATGTTTAATTATCTAAGATCAAGCATGTACCAGCAGAAGAAATCAACCTCAGTCATTGCAAGATAGCGTGAGCTGAGAAGACCTCAAATTGCAAAGCCCAGTCATTGGACGCAACAAAAAACTATTTCATTGTAGATTAACTGTCAGAAGTTGTGTAATCAATTACCATTAGGTCAAGAGATGTAAGAAAATTAACTTTTTTGTACCAGTGTAAATGCTGCTTTCTGTGTTATTGTGTTGCATAAATATTGTATTGACCTGTATTAGCCTGAGGGTATTAGAGGAGAGCAAAAGGGAACCGTACCACATGTTTTAACATGTGGATTTGAAAATATGAAATTACCAAAATGCCACTTGATAAAAACTCAAAACTGTGAACTTCAATGCATGTCCCTCTCTTCAGGGTGCCAAAAATAAAAATTCAGAAAGAATGAAATTAATTGCAAAAGGCTGAAAACTACATGTAATTGCAATTTCCTGCTTTCTGCCAAAGAAATTTCATTGGAATGGCACATCTGATAGGATTCTATTGACTGATACAAAATTAATATTAATTTAAAAAGTCTTACTGGTTGTCTAGAGTCTCTTATACTAAAATATAAGCTGCAACTCAACGAGTCATAACTGGCATGTTGCTGACATAGTGACAGATTGGTCTTTGAAAAAAAGCAATTAAAATTTAGCAGATACATGTAAGCTGCTTAATAAGCCATTTCTGAGTTTCCCCAATGCATTCTCTCAAAGGGATGCTAAGTGTGAAGCCACTGATATGAAAATGATCTTTTTTATTCTCATGCAAATAAAACTCATCTTCACAAGAAAGGTTAAATTGTACTTACAGTAGCCCACTATGAGAGTGAGAACTTCTGCAACCCAGAAATGGCCTTTTTCTGGGTTTGTGGTGCATGTTCAAGGCTGTGCACCAAGAAAAATTGAAGGGAGTCTTGTATTCTGAACCCCTGTTAAATCCAGGGTGCCCAGCACAAGATGTCTATGAGAAAACGTAAATTTTCTAGTCACCTGCTGGGTCAACTAAAGTTAGGTGCCAGGGGCCATTGGGCACTGCTAGAGCTTAGTCTTGATGTCGCCTGTTATTATTTTATTTTTATTTATTTCATGTTTGTTTTCAGTAAAAAAGAAGCTGATTAGAGAGTTTCCAGGCGTTGATGAAGTTGTTATTGAGGTTGCACTTCGTACTGTAAGTTCAAACAAATAGCAGTTTGACACTGTTGTTATGTACTGTTATATGATAAGCACTCCAGGCACAATTATTTCAGTATTGGTTATTATAGAAAAATTATGCAGACAAGGAAAATTGGCTGGTACACGTATTTATCACTTGGGTTGACCACCATCTTTTGAATGTTCCAATGATGCAGTTTTGCCACAAAGTACATGTACCATTTAAACGCTTCTCGCTTTGAACAGTCAAAACGCAAGTTCTTGAGAACCTCACAGTACTTGATTTACAAAAAAGCACATCAAATACATGTATACTTTACCTGTATTATGAGATAAAAAATAAACATGCCCTTCATGTAACAGGTCTTATAGTTGTATCCTGTGAATATAGCTATCTCTACGTTCCTAGTAGCAAAGAGTGTTCTCTTTTGTATTCTAATTCTGATTCTTTTGATATTTCAGGCCAAACATGATGAAAGCAAAGCCAGGGAAATAGTGAAGAAGTTGAAAGGTAATTCTTCACCATCAGAGTCCTCTATGGAGGCATCTAGTGTGGGGTTTACTCTTCAACAGAACTTCACATAGTCTCTTCAGTTTCCTAGTTAATAAAATAATAATTCTTTTTCTTTTTTTCACATAAAAAATTTTCTTTAATCTGGTTGGCCTAGAGCAATGCAGTATGCAAAATCAAGGAAATAGAAATGATAATATCTTATAGAATGGAGCACTGAGCTTGCCCAATAACCCTTTAAGTCCCAATAGTGACTAACAGCAATTTTCTCCTAACGATATCCATACATTGTCATGAGATGAGGTTATGAGAATTAATAAAATGATCATCTAAGAGAAAATACTTCGATCTTTTATCAAATTCTCTTAACTAATTCTTAAAGGAAATGTATAGAGATCAGTTTGAAGAATTTGTATGTGGATATTGGAGCTTCAAGGGATAAACAATAGATATATGTACATATTAAAGGGGCTGTGTCACGGCAGTCCAGTTCATTTTGTTTAATTTTGTGAATTACTTGCCCTCAATCTGTATAGAACTTAAAGTAAGCAAAGAAATTAAAAGTAAATGACAAAATCAGAGATCCGAGACAAACAAATACATGTATGTGTCCTGAGCATTATTTTTGAAGTTGCAAGCAGTAAGGATCAAATTTGAAAAACTGTTGGGCTGAATAGTTTTCAAAAACTCTAATTTCAATCCGTTTCAATCTTCTTCAGTTTTGCCCATCCGTGGCATCTGTTGTATCTGTTGTGTTATTTTAACCTTCCTTTAAAGTTTTAAGCGCTTATTTTTATGTTTCTCTAATTTAACGGGCATTTTGTAATTTCCTAATTTGGCTGAATTTCGTGACACAGCTGCTTTAAGAACCTATCAGGTGCTGCAATCTTTATTGGCCACTTCGAGGTGAAGCAAGGGGACCAATTTTGATGCAGTAAATTTTTTTCACATTATTTAAGGGTAATCATACGACTTTTCTCATCCAATTTGGATTTTATTTGCGTTTGTGTGATTTTCAAAAAGCTCTAACTGCATTTGCCCTACCGGCTCAGCATTTTTGATACATCTTGAAAAACACAACCGTGAAGAAAATTTTAAATTAAACTGAAAGTTGTATGATTACCCATACAATATTAAGAATGGCCAGTGTTTTTTATCTAGGCTGGGTTTTTGTCCTGTCCTCCTTGTAAAAGGGATGGTGATGCTCATTGTCTCCATTAGGATTTAAAGTAATATAAATTTTGGCACATGTATCACCTATTTGTGGTGATGAGAGTGGTCATGAGAATTACGGACATGATCAGGCAAGATGAATTTGCTTGATATTTTATCAATTTCTCCCCACTACTTCTGTAGGAAATGAATAGAGGCAACAAAGGAGAATTCAAATTTTGATGTTAGGGTTTCAAGGGTTAGAGAATGGTCTCCTTTAGGGGTCAAGTCAAGCCCGAACTCCGCCCAGAAGCTCAATTTCGATTTTCTGATGAACATTTTCGTCCCTTTAATATAGAAGTCCTTCCCCTGTGTTCTTCAAAAACCATAGCCTGCGAATAGGTTCTCTTGTGCGAATTGGGGAAAATTTTGGTGGCCCTGAACCGGCGCGAACTCGCCGGGATGGCCAGCTCACCCTTCCACAACCTCGCACAATCTAACCAGGTCGCAGGTTGCCCAAAAAAAACACCCTGTTTTGAACGATGGTGGTTGTCGATGGTTTTATGTATAAAACTACATTTATAATAGCATTTCTAATAGTTGTTATTCATTCATTCTGTTTATTTTGCTAGGTGATGAAGACAGCAAAAAGGGCCCTGCAAAGTGAGTACAAAACTTTCTACTAATAATTAAGTGATTTTTTTAAACTAGCATCATCGACTTTAATTTTTTGGAAAATAATTGTTGGTACCACAAATGAAGACTGCTCATATTCAGCCTTCACACTCCAGGTCCAAAACGACACCCAGCTGTTCGAGCCGCTAAATAGCATTTATTGTCCATGAATGTATACCCTGTTTAAAACTCATAACCCTGAAAACCACATCCTGTTCAGTGTGCCTGAATTAACATAATTCACATGGATTTGTAGACTTTGCAGTCACTTATCGTACCGAAGGGTTTTCTCGTACCAAGCTGAAATCAGGCTCTAATTTCGTTTCCCTTGGTAAATAGATTTCCGGTGGGCAATGCGAATCGAAAAGTCTTACATTTAGTAGAGTGTATACCTGAATTACGAGTGTTTGCGAATCGATCAAATTTTTTTGCATCACTTGCATGTGCATTCACTAGCCTACGAAAAGACCGAAAACAGCCGTCTCTCCCTGCACCTCGCCGTGGCACCAAATGGACCTTCAACTCAACACCAGGTCCTTCGAGACCACATACATCGTACCATGCATATCAGTTGGAAGAACAAAAGCATCCCCAGAATGTGGACAGACGTTACGAAAAATCCCGCCACAGTCAAGTCCCTTTTAATATAGTGGACGCTCTACGGACCTGGAGTCACGCCGCTCCACTCATGTGCCGAACCTAACTAATGAATTCAGTACGGCAAGAGAGTGGCGATCTGAATCAATTTGGTACGGCAGGTTTAGTTTGGTGCGGCCTTTTGTCGAACTTAACTTAGGCTCGACCTCGACACACGGTGCGCCGTATGAATCACATTTCGCGCCAGTGTCGCTCCAAAGTCAATCGTATTCAGTTAGATCCGGCAGATGAAAAGTACGACGTCTTTTCGTTTCTCCGTTCCTGATTGGCTCAAATGTCTTTGCTAATTCTTCATAACCAGCTAGCATTGACCAATTAATTTGGAAGGCGTTTGCGATATCCAATAAAAATGACGTCAATAGTACAAGAGTACAAGTCTATAGTACAAGTCTCTGAGTACAAGGTATGGACAGCAAAAGGATCCAGCGGTACATGTACCGTGCAGTCGATTTTCTCTTCGGATTAAATCCGTTTTCGTTTGTTACCATTTTGGCCCCGGTTGTTCAAACGTTGGATAGCGTTGCCCACCGGATAAAAATCTATCCACTGGATAGCGCAATAGGTTTGCCTAATACTTATCCACTGGATAGGGATTTATCCCATGGATACCGCTATCCAACGTTTGAACAACTGGAGCCTGTAGGTTAAGCATGTGACATCGCTTGGTGCATTGTATGGGCCTTGTGATTCGTCTTATTTTCTTCCGCAATTTCCTTGGTATGTTCAGTTTGATTTAACCTTCCCCTCGTTGTAAAAGGAAACAAGCAGGAAGGTGTCGATATTTTAGTTGTCATGTTTATGGTGTGGTGCCCTGTGCCGTTTCCTCTTTGCAACTTACACTGCATTTACCAGAATCAAGTTTCTTCAGCCTCTGTAGAATATATTTCATGGACAGGTGAGATTTAACTTGGAATTAAAATTGCTTTTTACAGGCATACAAAGTAGCAAGTTAACGACACCTCGAGAAATGTAGTTGTCTCTTTAATAGGCCCTGTTTTTTTTTTCTGATCAGTTACATTCGGTTAGTTAGGTTGTGTTCTGTTCAGGAAAAATACCTGTACATTTACTTGGTAAATCACCTTCAATCAGCTCCAGCTCAAAACTTGGACTGGAGTAGCCTGCGAACCGCAGACGTATTTCCGGTCGCCGCTTCTCTCCCTCCGGTGGGCGCCGAAAAAACCGGATGCTCTTGCAGGCTAGGACCGGAGTAAAACAGTAGAAAACCAATCTGCTCACTGCTTTTTGCGACACATGCGAACCTTATAGTATCACTGATGTTTTGAACTCGGAAACATTTCGATTACAGGATCTCTTTCCTTTGTACCAATCTTTAACATTTTCGCAGTCGCGTGATAAATAGGAAACTCGGTCAGGATCACGCAGGAACGTGTGGCCCGGGCGTGATATGATATATCATGTGATACCTGACGTCGCGTGATAGTTGCTGTCATTTGTGTGAGAAGCTTATGCTCTCAATTATTACTGTGCCTTATAGCCCCCTAGTGGCTCATTCAGGTCTCTTAATACTGGTGTGTACACAAAAGGTTTTTCCTTGCGTTCACTCTGAACGAAAAAGAGACAACCAGCTACTGTTTGTATAAAATATTGTGTGATGTCGATGAGCTGTTTTGCCCCGCTCACCCCAGTCCATGAGTTACGCAACATCTCTGGGAATCAAATTTCGACGATCCCTGTTCAAACGTTTTCATGCAAAGGTGAGATTCTATCTTTGGTCGTAATTGATTAAGCAATGGCCGAAAAAAATAGCATAGTCCATAAACTATTACACAATTGAATTCTGAGTTAAAGAAATAAGCCTAGTTAAAATTTTAGCAGCGATGTTTTGTGACTCAGAATGACTGCTTAAACTCTTTCCCTGAGAATACAAATGCTTACCCTTTTACTGTTCAGTACTATTTTTGTTGTATCGTGAACAGGTTATACCGGCCAACGTTTTTACAAAAGACCTATTCGGCTAACTCAATGTTGTACCCAATTCAAACCCTTTGGGAATAAAACTTTTTGTTTCAGGCATTTCCATACATTTAAAAGAGAATGCAGCATTATAATGCAAATACAATACACAAAGAATCTTAACCCCGGGAGATTTGAATTGGGTACAACATTGAGTTAGCCGAATAGATCTATTAGGTGTATGCAACATAGGAGAATTGTGCGAGGGGGCAATTTTTTGTAAGGTCTTTTAGAGTGAGAGGGCGCTGTGTGACTTCTTCCTCATTACTGATCGGCAAGCCAACTCATGAGTTTGGTTTCAATAATCGATGATGTTAAAAAGGCAAGGCGAGAATAGGCTTCAAAATACTATTCATTGCATTATCACGCGCGGTTTTTAAGCACTCACGTGTATCTATTGGCCGGATTTGCAACAAGTCTAAAGCCGGTTAAAAAATCACGGTCATTTAAAATAATAGCCTGTAATTGGCCTCCTTGCCTTTATTCCATATCCGTCTTATGTCTTCCATTGTTTGCGTATCAGTTTTAACGCCATTTTGTTAAGTGATCAGTACTCGAAGGAAATAAAATCGACCATATGGCGCAAAAATCAGTTGCTTTTACTTGGCTCAGGAACTTGACCGGCTTAATGGTGATGATGATCATAATAATAATGATCGTCTATTCAACCTTTTTGCCGCATAAACTGAATTACAAGACGAGTCATTAATTACATACAAATACTTCGGAATTATGACACGTAAATATAACTGTTAATATTAAGACTTAATATATAGATTTAGCCAGGGCTAAAAGCGAAGCTCCCATTAATAAATTTATAATTTAAATCAAACAATCAATAAACTTGTGATCCACAAATCAGTTAACTTGAGGGCACATTCATGTGACTTTTGAGGGAAAGGCTAAGTTGTTTTAGAGTAAAACATCTTACATCGAGTTGATAGCCTTATATGTACACCCAAAAAAGAGCAAACATCTTCGATCACATTCAAAAGCCATAATGGCTCTTGATCATAGCTGTAGATAAGGCCTCGAAAACAAATTCTAGGAAAACAAATCAGGCTGAATTTTTTTGATTTCGACAGGTTTACTTTACAAATTCTTGCCAACAAATCTGGGGGTGTGTGAACCAACCTTTTATACTTTTTATACACGATCTGAGGTGAAACAGTACGTACAATTTATCATACAGACCTCGGACAGAACACGGTATTTCACAATTTTTCAACACAAATTGCACTCAGTCAATGTTCGGGACGATCAATCGTGGGCTTTTAGCGAAACCGTTAAAAAAAATTTCCAAAATCACTCATTAGGCCGGCCGGTTCTCGTTTCTAGTGCGAGCTGTCAGTGTAATCGAGTGTTTGAATGAACTTTAAAAGAGTTACGTTTCAACATAATAACGAATTTATTATTACAATTTTTTGTTATTTAATGGTTTCAGTTATAACGATGTGTAATCTTATAAAGCGTTTGATACGCGCGACATTTTTTTAAAGTACTCCTGCAAGCGATGTTCATGAACGATGAAAACAAACGCCACGGACGAGCGATTAAAATTGCAAGAGAGTACTAACAATCAACAAAAGAAAGATAATTCGGTGAAACATTTATAGAGACAACAATTTTCATTCACGAAGACAAGTATTAAAGTGTCTCTAAAAATTGTGAGTCTTTAAACTTAAAAGTTAATTATGTTTTACTGTAATTTCAGCCGGCCTCCCGGTGTTTGTTTCTTTCAACGATGCCACTTCTCGAAGCAAGAAAATCGCTCAAAGTTTTCTTTCTACAGCCAAATTTATAGCTAAATATTCTTCGGAACGTTTTCTTTCTATTTGCGGTGAGAAAATATATCTGAAGGCTTTTCACAGTTCTGTAAGCTTATATCAAAACTGATACTAGGTCAGATCATTGACTCAAATCTTACAAACGTGCATAAACTTGCTTCATAAACTGTGCTCGACTTCATGAAATTAGATATAACAAAAACAAACATCAAATACAATAATTACTCAGGCTTACCATTCGAGATTCGGTTCCTGAAAGATATCATGGAAGGCCACAGTTGCTTGAGACTTTTAAGCCCTCTTACGCATTAAGCAAGGTGGAAAACGAAAACGATGCCATCCGAAATCGGATTACCGAATGTTGACAAGCAAGGCATTTCTCAACCAAAAACCCAATAAACAAACCAGCCATGAATAACAGGAGACTCTTGATAGCAGCTGTATTTCATTTTGTACATCCAGTGGAGAAGACAGTTAAATACATCACAAGTTGACACAAAACTCTGTCAGCTTCTGCTCTCAAAGTAAACAACTTTCATGATGCTGCATAAATTTCCGCATGAACTCACCTGTCAATTTTTGACCAATCAGAGGATAAAAATTGGACGTAGAGCGTGACCAACGCGTGACCATGGTAATAAAAGTTCTTCCCCGCCTGTATTTAAAAAAATGGTTGAATTTTCGCGTCCGGGGTCAGTTTGAAATCAAAATCTTAACAGTGCGGGGTCATAGTGACATAAACACAACATATTTCATATGAATCATTGGAAAAAATGAACTTGAGCCTACGATCATTTGAAACTGGTAATTTGTCAGCGGATAACTTCAAAAAATACTCGACCTCGATGGGTGAACACTTGAGCCCGCGGTACGGTCAGGTGATACTGGTCAGCGGGTGCCCTCTTTTGACAGCTGTCAATTGATCACAACATTGATGTGTAATTAGTTTTTCCTTGGGCTCCCAAACTAGCTAGAAAGTGTGAGAGTAGACATTGGTTTCCCTGTGGTTCGGACGGACGGTCGTACGGTCACGTGATTACCAAATTTTCTCGAATGGGTAGATTACCACATTTCCTTACCTATGGGGCTCCGCCCACGCTCGCGCGCTTCGCGCGCGGGTGGAGCTCCGCTATCACATTTCGGTATTTTAAACGTGATTCTGGTATTTGATGGTTCAAAAATTTCCAAATCTGTTAGTTCTTGAGGAGGCAAGCGCAGAAACAGTTTCTCCTGTTCAAAGGGCATACGGTCTTGTCTGTGCAACTCGCCGCACTAAGTTTCGTAGCAGGTCGGAAGAAGAGTAACTTCGCTTGAGAAATGTTATGCACGCATCCTCCCTCCTCTGGAGCAGCAGAATTGAGCCTGATTTCTTGACCGCGTCCTCGTAGCTCGGAGAAGGAAAAATAATTTTTAGCGCCCTCTTTTGTATTGATTCAATTTGATCACTTAAGTATTGCGTGAGGTCAGCCCCGCGCAAGCGGGACTCGCATACTCTAACAATAGACAAGAATAAGCTGCCTATCAGTTAGTATGATGATAATAATAATAATAATAATAATAATATTCATAATCGACTTTGTTGAGTTGAAAAACAATAAGAATAGTAAATCATCGACTCGGATGTGGCATGTCCTTTTGACACGCGAATTACAGAAAAAGAACGAGAGAAGATTGACCACTACCAGGACTTAAAAGTGGAAATACAAAAAGCTGTGGAACTGCAAAAGCGCATCTGTTTTTCTAGTTGTAATTGGGGCACTTGGGGCGGTGACCGAAAACTTGATGATGTGGGTTACTTAGATAGGAACACCTGCGATCCTGAACTTACTCCAGAAAGCCTGCTTGTTGGGAACAGCAAAGATCTTAAGAAGGACTCTAGACACCTAAGGCTATAGGATATAGCTTGACGGAGCTAGGGATACGTGACCACCGATACAATAAGTGGTGTGAGATATGAACATTTAAAATAATAATAATGATAATGATTACGAGCCTGATTACCCTTAATTATACGACACGAAGTCCTATTGTCAATTGCGAGAATCTCAGGACTGGAATATTTACTAAAGTGCAAAGTTCAAATCACATCAGCTTACAGCTTCTAAAGCAAAAACATGGATTACAACTTATCGGGTTATGGAGCTCAAACTACATGAACGTTTTAAAATACTTATTTAATTTTAACCAAATTGAAGGTGTCTAGATACCAGATTGTTTTAATTGTTTTTTAAAGCTTAAGTTAAATACAATATACAGTAACAGAGAGAGAGAAATAGAAAAGAAAGGTAGCGTGGTACAAGAAAAGATACAATTGGTACAGAGGGTATTACAATTCCTGGTTTGCAACCACGTGACAAGGCGGCCATATTGGGGTTCAATACAATAGAATTTTTCTCGAAGAATTTGTATAGGTAATAGCATGATTTGTAGTGATATTTGGCATAAATACCACGGGTGATATTTCGAAATTGTTATACGTAATTTCACGAGCCGTCAGGCGAGTGAAATTTGAGACAATTTTGAAATGTCACGAATGGTATTAATTGTTTATACTACTACCCTTACAAGGTTTGTAATTTTAACATGTAGGTACCGGTATTTCAAATTAAGCTGAAATACCACTGCTCTAAGCCAATCAAATATCAGAAATTTCTCATGTAGTAGTAGTATAAACATGAAAATAGAGTTTAGTTCCCAGAGGAGAGAAATGCTTTTCTTCTTGACCACCAACATGGCCGCCCTGACGTCACGTGTAAGCCAGCAATACTAATCTAACTTAAAAGCTGATAAAAATCAACTGAACATGCGAGAAGATATCTCTTTTGAAGGTTTAGTAAGCCTTTCACTTGCTTAAAAAGTAAAGCAATAGTTCGTAAAGTATACATGTGTTCCTAAATGCCAAACTTGTTTCCAGTACCGTGGTAACCCCACGGTTAATGCGCGCGTATCGCACTTATACCTTGACACCCTTTGCACCAGTTCTGACTGGCAGCATGACTGTGTTCAGTATATTTCCCAAAAAATTAAAGAATTTATACACGACCCCTCAAGGTACCAAGCTTTAAATGTCCACGTGCAGAAATAAAGATTGGTTGATTGATTGACTCAGTGATAAGTCGAGATTTTCTTTTTGTGCACATAGGAAAAAACAAGAGCAACCGGCCAAAGCTAAAACCCAAGCTGCGCAACCCTCGAAGCCCAGGGCGTCTACTGAAGATCTTAGTAAAGCTAAAGGCAAGTCTACTGCTAAAGCGAAATCCGCCAGTCAAGAATCTTTAAATAAGGCCAAGGCCACTAATTTGCCAAAGGCTGCCAAGTCCACCAGTCCAGCAGTTACTGTTGTTGCTACACCGCAGCCACCACCACCCCCGGCTGCTCCATCCATGTCCTTAGCAGGCCTGATCAGTGATTCCAGCACAGGTGGTGGTTCAAAGTCCATTTCGGAGATGACTGGTCGCTCTGTAAAGAAGCCATTAGACACGCAAGCGAAGCAATCACCGCAGTAAGTGTGTTTTTAAACCTGTATCAAGCTGACACCTTCTTGAAACGCACAACTGCCCACATTATAACCAAAAACAGGCTTTTGTGAAGGAAAAAAATAAAACTTAGTGACCATTGTCTCCGACTTATAGGAAGAGTACGTTTAATCCAGGTTTTACTGCAATTTTTTTTATGTTGCTCGTGTACTCATTGGTAAATCACACAAATTCGACCCTGGTTAGCATGACTCGATAATTATCTTCCGAACTAGAATTGTCCGTGCATTTTATGATTGTTTCATATTTCTTAACTAAACATGACCGCGCGTATCCACAGGTTAAAAACAGGTTAAATGGAACCAGTTTCAGTACACATATACATATTAAAACTGGACCAGGTGGAAGAATTCTGGAAAAAATATTTTTGTTAGTCCTCCTTCTCTCTGGTGCCTTCATACTGTGGATTCACTGGTTTCTGGAAAAAACTTTTTTGTCTCTGTTTAATTTTTTTCATCTCTTAGGAAGAAGATGTACGTTGGAAGTGGCAAAGCCTACAAGTCTGCTTTGCTGTGTGCCCCCAGTGGACCAAACCCAGCTAATGCAAACGGGCCAAATCCACTGTTACTTTTGTAAGTGACTACATACTAAGGACGCGTTTCTTTGAGGGATTGTTTACATGTAATCCAAACACGGCTTTTGCGTTTCTTTACTTAAAAACAAAAATGGATTTTTAATCGAAAGAATCATGATTCATTGTTTTTATTGTTCGCCGTTTCAATAATAGGGAGTAGGGAAAACAGTGGATGTTTAATCGAAAGAATCCACACTGCAAATTAATCTGAATCCGGACCTTTGGGATTTCTGATTTCCAGCCGGGCGTCAGCACTTTTTGGTTGACGGATATTCGAAAAAGGGTCTTCCGGCAAGCTGGTTTCCCATGATAATATTAGCTTGAAAATATGCTATTAAAAAGCATATGGATAATGATAATGTTGATATCATGATGATGATGATGACGATGATCATTTTTCCATTCCAACATTGGTCCCCACCTTGTCTACCCTGGGTTCCACAGGCTTTTCATGCGCGGTTTCCGGTTTCGGTTAAGTATTAAAAAGTGAGCCACGCGAAAAGTTTTTTCGAAAAGTTTTTTCTCGCGGCTTCGCCACTCGTGTCTTCGGCCGAAGACTTGTCGGCCTGCGGCCGACGAAGCTCCTCATCACACGCGAGAAAAAACCTCTGTTACCCAGGGTACACCTTCCCATAAGTGACCACTTTCCCACAGCTCTCCCTTCGTTGGCCGTTGTGTAGACTTAGGTACAAGTCGAGTTCAATTGTTTTCACGAGCGCTAAGCACGAGCGGTAGATTTTTTGTTTTCTGCGGCAAAAGCGAGCGAGAGAGCGGGAGCTCGACTTGTTTCCCCTGCAAAAAATCGCATCAAGTGACGCAATTTTGGCGCGAACTATTTGCGTCCCTGTCGCGTGTGTCGTCGCGAGCTGTCAAACTATGTCAAAAGAAACAAATAACGGAAACATAATTCCGATAAGAGAAAGTAGATAAAGTAAACAAAAGGGAATGTTCAATACAAAAAAAGGGTAATGAAAAAAAGTGCCGTCTTGCCATATTTTGTGGGTTAAGTCTTCAGACGTTTCCTTCGTCATTGGAGTTCAAGTACGTGAGAATCGTTGCAGCTTAGCATGCGCCATGAAAGAAAGCTTAAAAAAATAAAAACTTTGTAGTGCGCGCGCTCAAAACAAAACAAGTCGGTAATGTATTTTCGCTGCATTTCTGCCAGGAAAATCCGGCCTTGGTAAAGTACTCAAATGGAGGAAGTTAAAACGCCCACTGTAAGAGCTTTGTATTTGAATACAGGCGATAAAACGAAGGGAGGGGGAATACAGCCCGCAAAAAAATACACTCTTCAATCGAATTTGGATCAAAACAGTTCAAGTCACGTTTAAGGTGATTCCATAGTAAAAGAACCTAACATAGATTGTAGCTAAAACTTGGTACACTGATGTAACAAGTCAAGAAGACGATAAAAAAGTAATAAAAAGTGGGGTCACCGTGCTCGTTTTGACGTCACAATGCTGACAAATACGGCTATTCAGGACCTTTTTACAAGAACGGCGGCCAGCCCAAAACTAGACAAAAACGAGAGATTTTTTCGATGATGCATGTGGCATCACGCAGAATTTGACTTTAATGTATTGTTTATCCACTTACGTACCAGAAAAATGCCTTTTAATGCCCTTGTTTTTACTTCACGCTCCAAAGTAGAATTAAATTGGACGCGCGCTTTTCGACCCATGATGGCTCAATCCGTACAATTTAGTAAAATTGCCAAAAAACTGAACATAGATTTGTGCCAATTTTTTTGTCATCGAAATCAAGCACTGTCCTTATTAAAATCATGAAATAAAAAATGGGCGTCACCCTACTCGTTTTTGCGTAGAGCTGCAGAAAGTGCGCACCAAACGCATTTTCTCCGATTTTTGGGAGAGGACTGGGGCGAGTTTCAAAATAGAATGTATGTGAAAGGGGGAAGAAAGTATTAAAAAATCCGTTTTTACAGAATTTACATCGAGATATCACATTTAGGACACAATGTGATAAAGAAAGTGTTTAAATGAAAGCCAAAGTGAGTAAGCACAAGTTAAACATCCACTATCAAGGTTCTCCGAGAGGAGGTCGAACTCAGCAACACGCGTACTGCTTACGTTATGCATATTCCCAACACACTGAGTCTCACCTCGGCAAGAAACAGCAGCAAGCAAAAATTCCAATAGCGTTTCTCTTCAGTCAACTTCACTTTAAAAATATTACTTCACATGCTCTTTTTTACGGCGGCCATCTTGTTATGCCCAGTAAGAGATGCGCAGTGCAAAACTAGGGAATCACCTTAATGTGGCGTGATCGGATTTGATTGACGGCGCATCGATAAAACCCTTCAGGATTGGATACAACCTACAGGAGGAAAATTGGTCCTGTAAATTTGGCGCGCTGCAGGGAATAAAAGTCCTTCGCGCTGAGCCGGCTGGGACCAGCTACAGGTGGAACCGGAAATGAGAAGCGAAGGACTGAGAAAGTCTAGCCGTTGTGTAACGGTTTGACTGCAATTTTTTTTCTTTTCTTTTTCCTTCAGGCCTGAGTGGGTACAGCCTGAGGGACCTCAGCGCCAAAACCGCAAGGGCCCGCTACGAGGTAACAGGCAGGGACCAGCCAAGCGAACTTTGAATTGCGGTACGTGAAAAACGTGTCGTTCAATTAATATGAAATTTAATGCTGCTACCGTCACAAAATGTTGTTGTATTCACACCTTGGGTACCGATAAGTAACTGTGTACGTAGCCTCTCGGGCACCGGCTAGCGTGGGTTCTTGTAAAAAGGGGGCGTTCACATTAGTGCCCAGTGAGTACCGTACGCGGGAATTGTACCTGGGCACCAAGCGCTTTCCAAAAGTCAGAACTGACCGGCCTGACCGTGGCCGGACCGGTCATTTTGAAAATTAAATAGGCTTTTCCCAAGAGTTTTTAATAAAAAGCCATCTCCTTCGTTCATGCTTTTTAGGATTTGATCTGGTTGGATAGTTTTGATTAAAAGTGAAATTCTCATTACGACGGGAAGGGCCTGGCCGGTCAGTTCTGGCAAATGGAAAGCGCCTCTAAGTCTAAAATGCATTTGAACGTTGTGTTTTACAGGTCCCCAAGCAAGTAACCGTAATGGGCCCATTCCTAATGTGGCCAACGGATCAATTTACGCCAGGACAGCTTTGATGTCTTACGTGTAGATACCAGACAGGGATTCGTGTTAACAGTGTAATAATGTTAACAATCATGTAGAGTAGTTTCTGTAGTGTGATAAATTACATCTGTAGTTGTAGTCCTTTCTTGATTAGAGTCGGCGACAAAATTAGTTGAGACACGTTGTTCTAGGCTTAAGCGTTTTGCCAAGAACGTAAAAAAGGAAAAATAGAGCTTTCCCTCCCTCCCCTCCCCTATCTCCTCCATGCAATGTTGTGCCGGTGTTCGAGCTATCTGTAGAAAACAACAAACTTTGAGTGGAGGGGACGGGGGGTGGGTTTGTATTGTTTTGTTCTCCGAAGTTACCCCATTTGGGAAGAATACCTCAACAATTTTGTCGCCGATTGTAGTTCCGAAGTGACGTAGTTGGGACTTTGAGTGGGCTCTCTGTGGCGCACGTAAAACCCGTTATATTGGGGCTACCAGCACAGGTTTTCTGTTTATTTTGTAACAGTTTTAACTGGCACTCTTACTTAGCAAACGTCCTGAAAAGAATCGGTTATTTGGTCTGCAGTACAATGTAATATGAAGTATGTACCTAATGAAACATTTGGTTACGATAGTGGGTAACGTGAGCGAGTACTGAGGTATAATCACAAATTAATTTTCAAGAACACAGGCTAACAGGGTCAACTATTAACGGACTCATTTATATGATGGACACCTCCCTAAAACAGACACTTATGGCCAGTTATTTAAAAGGAATTTAGCCCGTGCTTAACAAAACCGCGTTCTAAGTCATTTTCAGTTTGCCCAACGTTTTTATCTAAAATTTATGGTGAACAATATCAATAAAGCAACCCACTAAGCCACTAAAGAAGAGAACTGGAGGTGCAATGATTTCTTAAACAACGGCCTAAGCTAGGGCCTGTTTACATGAAGGTGGGGGACCCCAGTAGGTGAGGTAACCCGCGGCGGTTCACGCCACCTCTCATGTAAACGTGATCAAATTAAAATGAGAGATTATATGGACAGGCGGGTTACCCCACCTAATCGAGTTACCTCACCTATCTGGGGTCCGCCGCCTCCGTGTAAACAGGCCCTTAGACTTCGTTTCAATAACCCACCCTTAGAGTTGGTCCTGCCGTTCTTCAGTAATTCTTGTTCACTCTCTATAGGACGAACATCTAAGACGGGCACTTAGTGCCGATCTGCGTTCCCGACAAATTCAAACTAAAATTCTTGCGTTTGCTCATTCAGATCTTGGGAATAACATCTTAAGCAATTTTAAAGAAATTGTTAAATAACAGATCTGTATGTTTCATTGTTAAAACCACCTATTATTTAAATTCAGTTTATATTAACTTAATACTTCGATTCCATCAGGCCCCGTTTATATGGAGATAAGTTGTCCCTGGTAGAAGGATCACTGGCCTACCCGAGCTGCCCTGGGGAAGCCAACATCTCATACATTTTCTCACAAAACGTGACGATCCGTTAACACGAGAAACAAAAAGTTGGCTCGGCTAGAAGAGTGACCAACCTAGGCGGGTGACCCTTTTTTGATGGAACTCTCCTAGCTTGGCCAACTTTTCCTCATATAACACTTTGGTTCGCCCAGCCGGGTCCAATCGATCAAGGCGAGAAAATTAGAGAATGTGCGAGCGCTGTTTTGGACAATCAGAGCATGCGCGAGCGCCGTGTTGCCTCGGGCAAAAGGGTCAACGTTTTTCTCAGATAGACGCAGCTTGCTGAAGTTGAGGCGGCTGGAACAACTTTTCTTCACTTAAACGGGGCCTCAGAGAATAATTGAAACGCCTTGTGTGGCCGATAAAAGTACAATTTTACAGTAACTCTGGTTTCTTTGACAACGGAAAAGGTGTTTTACAGAGATAGAAAATAATTTAAAATAGCAGCTGAAATTCACTGTTTTAGTGAAGACATTTCTCGGTTTAATTTTTACTCTCTTCAAAATATAACGATACAATTTGTATTTAACCTCCGTACTTGATATATAAAATAAAATTGGAAGACGGTGTTTTGTGTGTTTTCAATTATTTATCGCGGGAGGATTCGCATTAACATTTTGAAGTGTTGTGCCCTGTCACTTTCGCCACCCGATTTTTCTTTTGAAGCCACCTGAAAATTTAAACATAATTCCACAAACTCTTGTGGTAAAGTAGCAATAGGCAACTTTTTTAGTGATTTGTAGTGATATTTGGCTTAAATACCACGAGTGATATTTCGAATTGAAATTGTTGTACGTAATTTTGAAATATCACGAGTGGTATTTATGCCAAATATCACTACAAATCATGCTATTATTTGTTTATACTACTACCCGCAAAAGGTTTGTAATTTTCACATGTAGGTATTTCAAATTAAGCTGAAATACCACTGCTCTAAGGTAATCAAATCGCAGAAATTTTTCATGTAGTGGTATAACAAAGAAATACCAATTTCAGGTTTTCGGGCGCTTGAATGTGTAGCTATGTATGGACCCTTACTCGCTTGCGGGTTTTATAAACCTATCTTACCCTCTCAAGTCAAGACTAAGAAGCCAGGGCCAAATTGCATAAAGTAATATCAGATTGAAAGTAAATTCTTTGCAACTTATATATCGTTTTGTTTTTTTTTTCTCGAAGGACGTTTATGCGTTGGGATTAACGCGTAAAGAAAACACAAAGTTAAGAGGGCACAGGAAATTCCTTCGGAAACCATTGGAGAAACAAACGCACTTTCGTTCTGTGAGCTACTTATACAACAAGACCCAGGTCTTGTAAGGCGTCTTCGCAGGCCTTTAGGACTGGGTGGAGTCCAATTCAGTCCGTAATCATTAACAAAATCGCACGACAGCGTAACGAGAGTCCGATTTGTTTCATGACGAGTATGATTACAGACCGAATTGGACTTCACTTAGCCCGCTGTTACCAATCAATCATAATTTAAACAAAATTTGTGTTATTTGAAGCATTAAAACTAAAACGTTGGATATTCCAAAAGTATATATATATATATATATATATTTTTTTTTTTTTTTTTTTTTTTTGCCGGAAGTGAAAAAAAGCATTTAAATGAACCGGCACGATGTCGCGTACTGTACTATTGTGTAAGGGCGTATTAAAATGCCGACTTCAGGACAGCTGATAGTCAATCAAATTATGATATGATGATGATGATGCTTATTATTATTATGATTATTATTTATGATGATAATGATTATTATTATTATTATTATTATTATTATTATTATTTTGCTACATGTTAGCAGCCAATGAAAATTATGACGCGAGTAAAGGATTTTTTTTGTTTTATAAATTTTCTTGACGGGAAGAGAAGTATTGAAAAACAAATCCGTTTCCCAGGCCGTTTAGCGATCCGTATAATTTATGTAATAGATTGTCCAACGCAATTGTTTATTCAGGTCAGCTTTTTATAGTTATTTGTTTTGAGTGGACATAATCTTTCTGATTGTTATGTTTTTTCGCCTAAATGCAAATGAGACGAGAACGTTTAGGTGAGCTAGAAGAACTGAGTTAAGCTCGCTTTCGAGACCATTTCACAGTAACTTCAAGCGTCAAACATATGATACTAAATATGAACTGGTTTTGTTTTAAGAGTTGAGAGTTACTGTGTGGCAGTTTGGCGAAAACAGCTGAAAAGGAATTCCACGCCGGTAAGTGCGAACTCAGCAGTGTTACATTAATTTGCGGCACATTTTTCTCTGAAAGTCAGTATCTTGTTTGTTCCAGGTTTGAGCGAATTGAGAAATCATCTCACGTGGTGATAGCTTTGCTCATTAATCTTTCTTGTATACTGACTTCATAGACTTGCGCTAGACTTATCCATTCCTGACTGATATAATCATGTCTGACTACTTATTATTCTGGATTATTCTTACTACTCGACTCGCTTGGAACAAGCATGTACGAACTGGTTTATCTTAAAGTCAAATAAACTTTTAAACTCCCTTACAACCAAATTTGTTGAAATTTGCGTAGTTGTGCTTGATGAAGTGTCTCATATTCTTTAAATCGCATTTCAGAGAATTTTAGAGTCGCATAAATCAACCGACTTTAAGTCAAGGAATTTATCCTAAGCACGGTTTGCTAAAAACTTATGTGTGATAGGTAAAAAGCCCACATGATGCAAAAATTTAAATTTGCCCTCATGTCGGCCGATAAAGTGGACTGAAAAATCGAAATAATTTTTTATATACTTTATATATAATTTATATTTCACAAAGTGTACTAAGAGGAAAATATTTGTTTGGTTGGTTATGCAGATAAGCCGGTTGGACTAATGTAATATTTATAAGAATTGTTTAAACGGGAACTTTAGTTACCCCAACTGCTTGATTTCTTAAAGCTTTATCTAATAGATATATCTATTTCATAGTCAAAAATGGATTTATTTTGGTAAAGAAAGTACAAAATACACCGACGGGTAGCAGAATGAAGAGAGAGCGGTGAACTAAGGAATATCACTGAACTCATTATCCAGTCTCTGAAATCGAAATTTGTAGACTGAATGAACGGGAGGCTGACTTGACTGAATGGATACTCTACAGTTTGACAAGCTGGCTGACTAACCACCAGTGATCAAGCAGAATACTAAGGAAGTCTACCACACTTGAAGAAATGATTCGCTTGAAACAAAAACGCGCAGTCTGCCTATCGTGTTAGAACTGTAAACTGCATTGAAGTGGCCTACGACAAATCTATTGCAAAAGCAAGCAAGATGGGGTTGAGTAAACGGACGGAGTGACAGAGTTTTCTCGGTTGAATCATTTATTAGGCTATTCATTATTAATAATATCATTAATTGACAGATTGATTGATTGATTGACTGACTAACCCTTCCACGGTTTTTTATTTTCACAGGGATCAGTCAGCGAAAATCCATCGACAACGTTGGTTCGAAACAGCGCCTTTCAAAAAACCAGTAAGGGTGATAAGTTTGAAGGTGATTTGTTAAAACTAACGAAGAAATGGCTCCGCAACGTCACGACATTTTACAGACGTTTGTTTTCGCGTATATAGAGCATGTGATGGGCGGGTCGCAAGTTTGTGTCCCACCGAATAAATGCACCCATTACAATTTTGCGACTTTGCTCGTTTCGTATCGCTATGACCGATCGGTCGTTATGTTATGAACTCAGACAGATCAAATGTTTTTTTTTTTTGTCTTCTCACCCATATCTATAGGACCTATAGAGGAAAACACAAGGCGACTTACATCTAAGGAATCAAGTATACTGATGTCATGGCCTTCTTTTCTAAGGTGCGACAGTGACTGAATCCCAACATTTAACAAACTGTACGGTTTTCTTAATTGCAAAGACAATAAGTAACTCATAAAACGGTTCGATTATTTAGGGCGACCATGTGTGGCTTTCTGTGAAAAATACCAGAGGCTTTCATATTCCTATTGGCGCAGTGGTTAAATCAGTCGATGGACTTGGAATGTTGCTGACCGATGATGAAGGACAGGTATGACTTACCCGTCTAGAGTTAGCTAGAGTTCACACGATATACCCATCACGGACACACGATCTCAAGAGCGTTGTACTCACACAGGAGCATATTAATGTATCTCAAAATAGAACGGTCAGTCCTAAAAACTAAATAATTTATGCCCCGTCAATGGGAATTGTTTGCACGTTAAGGTTTATGGGCTCCTGAAACACTTTCTGTTACTCTAGCGTGGGAAAGATTGAAAATGATTGGAAACTGCGTCAAGTGGGTCCCTGGTTTTTGTGAGCAAATTTTAAAATTATACGGGCGTAGTTGACGGAGTATCACTTAAGCGGACTTTCCAGCAGTTGACCTTCAGCTCAAACAGTTGCGACTAAGACGAGTAATAAAATGTGCATGAGAAAATTGGTATTGCAATAAATTTTTCAAAAGATGCCTTTCGACAGAGACCCAGAAAGAATAATCTACCCTCACACTTTTGTTTGAAATAGCGTGAAAATAAAGTTAGCCTTCTAAAAAAGAAGAGCTTGAGTAATTAATAATGTGAGCCATGTCCATGGATCTTTCAGGAACACTTTCTCAGCGGATCATCGCTTAGTGGTGATGTTCATTCAATGCATCCCAGCTGTATTTCAGGGGTTGACGATATGATTCAGCTTGGTGAACTCACAGAAGCCGGGATACTCAGAAATCTGTTCATCCGATATTATCGCCACAAAATTTACGTAAGTTTGACAGTCCACCGAATTCTAGGAAGACAGCTAAGATAATCAACTGAAAGACGTAACATTAACAGCAACAAACATACAAAGAAAATTTTTAGTTTAAATACCAACCATTTCTTAACGGCAAGTTGTCTAAGACGCTCGGACAACCACTCCCTACAGTGTAAATGGTCCCCGAAGTTGTTCAGTCACTACTCGACACTCTATGAGGTGGACACAGCACCTCACTAAGATGGACACGCCTCCCAAAAGTCGAAACTTGCCTGCCATAAGGAGTTTTAGTCCGTGATTAAAACGGGCTTTTACGAAACAATTTTTTGCTGAAAATTCTTTCGCCGCCGTGCATGATTAAGAAAAGACTGGCGTAGAAAGACGTCAATGCCGATTAACAGAAAGTAGGCCAGAGTTAACAAAGACAACGCAGCGTCAAAAGGGAAAGCGAATAGGCCCCCTCTATACAAGAACCTGTTTAGCCTAGGATTTGAAACAAGTTCTTAGTTTCTAAAACCTAAGAAAAAAATATGTACACTCGGCAAATAAGATAAGAAGATAAGTCAACATTCAGGGTCGACATATGTGCCTAATCAAACTAACTGCAAGGGTAATGTTATACAGATTTTATTTAAGGAATAAGTTGAATACCACTTAATAATCTTAGGTACAATGTATTTTTCCTCAGAAAATAAATAAAAACCTATAATTTGACATTTAAGTAAGAACCTCAGTTTAGGCTAACTTGGGGAAATGCGAGTACTTACTCGCGGGTTTTTACCGTACATGTACTTCTTGACATGACTGTATTTGCTTCCTACTCTTCTCTAGACTCATATCGGGAAGGTGTTGGTAGCCGTTAATCCTTACCATCTTTATCCGATCTATGGAGCAGAACACATAAACCTCTATAATCAAGAAACCGATGTTACCAACCTACCACCCCACATATTCTCTACCGCACATCATGCCTTCATTTCCATGAAAAGACGACTCCAAAACCAGAGTATTATAATCAGGTACGATATAATAAATATACACATATCATCATTAGTAATCTGGCCACAATTTTACAGACGACCGATACTAGAAGTACTAAACGGACTTATTGAGGCCGAGTGATGTTGAAAACATTTTGGAGATTTTTCCACAAGACCAGAGCTGCCAGTCTGTGGAACATTTTTGAGCTTGATTTTTTTTTTCGCTTCCATAGCGGTGAAAGCGGTGCAGGCAAAACAGAATCCACCAAGTTAATTTTACGTTACTTAACAGTGGTCAGCGGACAACACACCACACTTGATCAACAAATTCTTGACGCAAATCCTATTTTGGAAGGTATGCAATTCACGAGGTTTAAATTTTCACTCATAACATTATTTAATTGATCTTTTACGAGTTAACCAGACTGGAAATTAAACATTTCATATTCCTATAGAAGTTCTATATATTTATTTGTCAGCTTTTGGGAATGCAAAAACTGTACGAAATGACAATTCAAGCCGGTTTGGAAAGTACATCAACATCTACTTTAACAGACATGCAGTCATTGAAGGAGCTAGAATTGAGCAGTATCTCTTGGAGAAGTCCAGAATCGTATATCAGGTATAGGTTTGTTATCAAAGCAAGAAAATAAACCTCTGCTGAGGCGAATGAATGATGGATGGGATTTATCTTTTCAGTAAAGATGGTAGAACTATTTTTCTTGTTTCCGCAGACGAGATAATGGTATTAAAACTAGTTTGTCAGTTGTTCATTGTAGGACTAAGAGATACCCAATCTAAGAACCATGCAGTCTAAGTGTGTACTTCCTTGCCTCTAGTGCAGCCCTTAATAATGGCAATACCTCGCATCTATGCACTTTTCCTAAGTACATATTGACACTGACTTCGCAGGTGAAAAGAGTTTCCAAAACTCCCGGAGAAAAATTTGTCTCAGTCTCGGGTGACCGTCTTTTTCTCCAATTAATACATATTTCGATTTCTAAAAATAATATAAGCTCTAAGCCTATAGCCACCTAGATATATTTGTTTTAAAGCACGAGAAACATTCATGAGTAGACATCGCAAGCTTTCGCTTAGTTTAGTTGACTTTTCAAGATATGAGTTGTTTCAAGCGAAATTTCCCTAGACCTTTGCATTGATGGGGCGTGAAAAACAACTGGGGGGAGGATTTGCTCTCTGGAGTAGACAAACCAATTTTAAGAGGTATGTGATTTCCTTCCTCCCGTTAGATGCCAGATGAACGCAATTATCACATCTTTTACCGTCTGCTTGCCGGTTTGGACAAGGAGGAAAAGAACAGCCTCCACCTGACGGTGACAGAAGATTATCACTACCTCTCCCAGGGAAACTGTTTTACATGTGACGGGATGGATGATGAAAAAGAATTTGCAAATATTCGAAGAGCAATGAAGGTAATCACGTCTGAATATTATTGACATCATAAAAGAGAGTTAAATACAAACGACCCACGTGTCGGCGAAAGGGAAGAGAGATGGACGGGCGTGGTCGCGTTGGTGCTGTTTTGTTATGGGAGATGTGGTGTCCCAAAACCGTCAGCATTAAGCGCACAGGTTAATACGCAGTATGGGTTACTATTTTAGGGATGAAGGTAAAGAGGAAATCATTAAAAACCATATAGATGGTAGGGAAAGTAGAGGAAACTTAATATGTTGTTTGAGCATTTGGGTGATAACTCGGTGTGGCTAGGCCAAGTCATTCAAAGTAGAGACTAGGGGGAAGGATTTCTACTGTCGCGTACTTTTTGCGTGCTAAAATAATGAGGCAATGTATGGAAGGTCGCGCGTAAACGTAAAAGTCGAACCTCGCTCAACTTTTACGTTTACGCGCGGCCTTTCATACATCGGCGCAAATTTATTTGTAAACATAAATTTTACGCGCGTACGCTACACGTAAAAATTACACGACAGTGGAAATCCGCCCTTAGTCTCTACTTTGATGAATTGGCCTAGCCTCAGTATATAAGCGCCTAAAATATACGTACGTACGCAGTTAAAAATTACGCGACAGTGGATTTCCACCCTGTGAGAGGAGTCAGCTATTTCGTTATTGAATGCATTCAGTGATGATTAATATGTGCGTGTTTTTATATTCTCAGGTGTTAATGTTTTCCGAAAAAGACACTTGGATATTATTCACTCTGTTAGCAGCGGTTCTTCATCTTGGAAATTTGCGCTTTGAAGGTAAAACGCAAGAGAAAAACGAGTAACAAAACATTATTCATATAGGTGAACGGCTCTGACGCATCGTTGCTTCTCCACAGTTCAGATCAGCTTCTGCACCGCATGTGGCTGCAGTTAGTTTATCTTACCATAAAGAAGAGCTCAATACAATGCAAAGAAAAATTATGGTCAACCTTCGTGGGATTTTATTTCCAATAGGTCTCAAAAAATAAGCCAAGATGTTACAACACCTCTTGGTGAAATTTTCTCTAGCCTCCTCGTAATTATCCATCATAGGCACCACTCACATTAAATTAAAGTAAGGCCAAAAGCAAGAACTGTTTTTTATGGCCTTTTCTCAGTTGACGCTGTCACTTTCGTCTGAAATTTTTGAAAAAAAGTGATATTAAATTTAAAGTGTTTTCAGGTTAAATATGTCTTTGAATTATTTTTCATGATGCACAGCTCTGATTCAAGACAACATGGAGGCTTGTGCAATTTTAAATGAGGACAGCGTTGACTCGGTGGCTCATCTCTTACAGGTAGGTATTAGTGGATGCTCTATGTGGTCTTAAGATGGTGAAGGGAGCTATATTGCACATGCATGCTACATACCCGGTTACAGCACCTTGTCTTTTTTCCTACCTTTAATACGTAAAAACGTATTAGCTACATGACTCCAGGGTAATCATGCGCTCGGGCAGTGTACCATGCAGGGAGAACTATCCGATACCTTGTAGATCATGCATCGATTAATAGCATACGTTTTTAGCTAGATACAGCGCCTTCACAGTCAAATTGCTTCTACACCTGTGTTCTTTATTCCTTGCTGCAAATTCAGGATATATAAGGGAGTTTTGGTAGCTGAATACTGTTGACGAACTGAGAACTTGCTACCCTTATTAATTATTCAACTGATTTCTAAAAAACCGGCAATTTTATCGATTATAGATTCCCACAGAGGAATTCCACAAGGCGTTTACAAGCAAATCAACATATGCCTCTGGAGAACTTATTTACTCTCCTATTGGCGTGGAAAGCGCCAGGCACATTAGAGATGCATTTGTAAAGGGAATTTATGGACGACTGTTCATCTGGATTGTAAGCAAGATCAACTCGTCTATAAGCGTAAAACATACAGTGAGTATTTTTTGTATCTTCTTGTCCAAGTCGCTACATGAGCACACAAACAAACTGATCGAGGAGGCCCACAGTGTCTCAAAACCCATGCCCCCAATCAAAAAGCAATATATGCCACACCCCTGGTCACTCATACTAACAACAGATTTACAATCACCTTGAAAACATTATTAAGCTATCGTGATCGGCGGGATTTGACCTGTTTGAGAGCCGAGCCGGGATTCGGGATTTCATAGGAAAATGGGGGCGAAATTCGGGATTGTAACTATGCACGGGATGATGGATGCCAAAAATAACCATCAGGATTACTTGTTTGAGCACTGAACTGGGATTGAAGAACCCATCATACATTGGGGACCCTCATTCATCTCTCTCTCTTAGTGAGAATCATTGGGACTGATGCTGAGAGTTCGTCTCAAGCCGAGATGTCTAACTAGAAAGAGCGTGAACAAAAATGTACGAAAAAGGCGAGGATCAACTCCAGTGGGGAGATGTTCGTATTATATAGGTTATTGGCAGTGTATCAGGCGGTAATCCTGGAATCTGCTTCTATTTTATTTTTCACTTTAAGGCTGATTCAGAGCTCGAAGGTCGAGTATGTCTTGGTGTCCTCGATATTTTCGGTTTTGAAAACTTTGAAGTTAACAGGTGAGAAATTAATTTATTGTTTTATTGATTTATCAGTTATCATTGGTTATGTAGATTGAACAGCTATTTTCCCAGTTTTGAACCAGTAGATATAGTGATGTGTTTATTTCTCGCCAGAAGCTTTATTTTCGTTGTCTTGTGTCTATATGCAGTTTGATTTCACACAAACCCCCAAATTAACCTAGTTTATAAATCTATCTGTGACTATTAGACGTCAAGCTTTGTAACGGCTTTTAATCCACTTCCACCCAAACCCGCCCGCTCTAATTCTGGAATTGAACCACATCCAATTCACCACTTTTTAACCGTCATAGACAACTTTGACGCTATTATCTTGAGCAGGGAAATAGTTCCTCTAAATCATACCTAAATTAAAAGATGATCAGAAACTAGAGTGACAAGCAAATCACTTGGGAATAATGGGCTCAAACTATTAAGTTCTGTGGTAATTGTAAGTTACAGTTACTTGATTGAAGACTTACACAAACAGATACATGTCTCCACACCTTCAGTACGACTGGTTGTAGCCCAATCCATGTAACCAAAGGTGGATTTCCACTGTCGCTTAATTTTTACCTGAGTACGCAGGTACATTTTATGCACGTAAATAAAATAGGGGCGATGTATGGAGTAGAAATCCACCCTAACGCATATTTCCTCTTCCAGTTTTGAACAGCTGTGCATCAATTATGCTAATGAAAAGCTTCACGGTTTCTTCGTTGACCACGTTTTCAAGATGGAGCAGGTGAGTGAGAAGTCAGGAATCTAGAGACTGGTATGGTATTAAAATGGAGGCTCAGAACGTACAGCTTTTTCGAGAAAGGTTGTCGAAAAACGTGCACGTCACAATCCCGAAAGGTATTGTGAGTGTTTTGCGTTCACTCAAGTTCTTCAAGGAAATTTGAAAGAATGGCATCAGAGGCCATGGACGTATGGCTGCTGGTGCCAAAAGAAAGCCGCAAAAGTAGGTTCGACAGCTACAGTGTATTGATCATATCCCATATTACCTTTCGGGCTTTCTCGAAGTAGCTGGATGCAATACTTCTTTTACGGCGTTTCCTGGTATATATGTTGTAGTTAATTTTTATTTCAGTTAATTTTTATTTTTCTATTGTTTCTGAGTATGGTTATGCATGCCAATGAATTTAAAAACAAAGGAAAACCAAAAATTAACTGAAATAAAAAATTAACTGCAACATATACAACACAGCTGTATTGAACTTATAAGACTACCACTAAGCAAACGAGAAAATTCAATCCTAGATCAGATCAACGATCGTTGTAAAATGCATTGGAGTATGTTGATAACTTTTGCTACTGACAATTTTTAGCATGTGGGGCATTTGCAGTGCTTGATTCCTAATGGAATAACTCACTGTGTTTTCTGTTCGGTGTAGGCTGAGTATAGTCGCGAAGGACTCAATTGGAGTCCTGTGGACTTTGTTGACAATCAAGAAGTTGTGGAAACTTTGGCAAATAAACCTCTAAACTGCTTTGCTCTTATGGACGAAGAGAGCAGATTCCCTCAGGTATAGATGCTGTTGGCGCTTATTTAATAAGTCAATAATCTGTCTCCTCCAGAAAATGAATGTAAGGCACACTCTATCCCTTGAATAAGAATCCCATACTAGCATGCGAACGCTTCACGAACGGAAATACGTCTGCGTTCGGAGGCTAATCCCAAACCGACCAAGGCTCACGATAGCTCGTTGGTATCACTCATGTGAGGTTTTCTATATTTTGTAATCAGAAAGCGTTTTAAACATGAATTTTCACATCTTTTGAACGCAATCAAGCTACACTAACTGAACGTTGCACAATTCTAGAGCGACATTCACTGGTGATATTACTGACTAGTCGGATTACAATTATCGTAATAACGTAAGACCTCATACACTTCACTTTCATAGTAATGTTATTCCTATTCAGAAAAAATTGAGTACAGTTCACTTGGAACACGAATTTCTTTGACTCTCTCTCTCTCTCTGCTTTAATTTAATTTGTTTTTGTCTTTCTCCAAAAAATATATTTAGTTCAAGTTAGTACTAAGCTTGTCTCGGCTGTGAACGACTTGTTTATTTAAATTCACTATTTCTGCTTCCTTTGTTTTTACAGGGAAACGATGAATCGTTTTTGCATAAATTGACTGCTCATCACGTTAAAAGTAGCTGCCTTTTTAAATCCAAGTCTCGCTCCAGAGCTTCGTTTGGCATGGTTCACTTCGCTGGAATAATTGAGTACGACGTTACAGGTGAAGCAATTGAGAAATCCTTTATTTCACTCGCGAACTCCGAAATGTTTGCAGCCAGCGCACTGGCCTAGGAGGTTAAACAATGAATTGAATCTCCTTCAATTTTTCCAGTGGTGTGAGTGCATGCATAGTAAACCTTAGTTTTTGAGGTCTTTTTTTAGCACTGAACAAATTCAATGACAGTTTAAAAAGGTCTGACGTTTTTGTAAGAGTTATCTTTGCCTGCTGACCTTTCTGGCTGTGTTTTTCTGAGCGGAAGAGAATAAGAACTTGCTTATTCTAATATAAGATTTATGCGGATTTCCGCAACCTTTTATATCTGCATATCTGCATCTTTCATAGGCATCCTGGACAAGAATAGAGATACCTTCAGTGCTGATCTTGTTGGGCTCGTTTGTGAAAGTAAAATGGAGTTCCTTTTTGACCTGTTCGCCAAAGAAATGTCCATGGTAATTATTAGTCATGATTTTATGTTCTTTCGAGGAAAAAAAGGCCGCGTCTCTCTTTTCTATCAAAATATAAAGGCTAAAATAATAATGTTCCTTGGCCGGGCACTCTTATTGGTACAAATTAAGGCGCTAGTTTTCCCCCGTGGCTCTTCAAGGTTTCTGGCCCGTGTACAGCACAGACCCCTTCTCTCTCTCCCTGATATCTTTTTGTAATTATACTTAGGTTGGTTTAATATTTGAACGAAGTCTAAGTTATCCTGGTGGGGATTTGTAACAGTTATTGGACCTTCGCGCATGCGGTTCACAGGTGGATTGATCACATTTAGATACGTTTTTTGTAATCTTAAGCGATATGCAAGTGACTTTGACCAGCTCGAAACAGTGGCTAACTCCAGCTTTACACCTGGTCCATTTAATTTAGTCAGGACTGAGTTCTAATGAGACCTTAAAATGGATAACTTAAGGACACGGGTCATATCGATATTTTTTTTCTAGGGCGAAGAAACTAGAAAACGATCACCAACATTGAGTGCACAGTTCAGAAGATCTCTAGATGTCTTGATGAAGATGCTATTAAACTGTGAACCGTCTTTTGTTCGCTGCATTAAACCCAATGAACTAAAGAGAGCCATGGTATGTCACCAATTGTCCTGAAAATAGTGACTTCTACATCGTCAACTTAGCGTATGATCCCCTTTTGTGGTTGCATTTCATCTTAATTCCGTTTTTGTCACCTTATATCCTACTGAAAGCGCTAATAGATAGGTACATACAATCTAACCAAACTGAATCAACCTAAAGCTGCTTTAACCACGTGCAAATGTGCGTGGGAGCACTTCTCGCTTTCACTCCCTAAAGGGGAGTCCAGCTAGCCGAGGGTGTTCGACCCCCTCCACAAGAGATTAAAAGGGGATTTTCTTTTTACGGATTCAAATTGATTGTATATAAGAATCTATTGATGTAAGAATATAACATGCAGAGTACTTTGCAATTCATGTCTCTCGGGAGAAAAGGCCCCCTTGGCATACTTTTGAATTAATTGAAACCTGTTTCCCTTCCAAATCCAGATATTTGATCGTCATTTGTGCTGGCAGCAACTGAAATACTCAGGAATGTTAGAAACTGTCAAGTAAGAAAATAAACTCGTTGAATGATTGACAAAAAATCATTTTTTCTACCCTGTGCGGGACCTCATTTGTTATTAGAAAAATTATTATTATTAATATTATCATTATTTTAAATAAATTACCCTCCTGCACTGAGACTACTGCTAGTATGGGTTAAAATTAAACGGAAAAATACGTCAAGTTATCCTTAAGATTATTTAGAGTCAGGAAACTATTGCAGGAATCTCCAGCTAAAAATACATTCATTTCCAAAAATTACCGGGTTAATCCGGGAGAATGGGAGCCACTCATGATACTATTCCCAGTCCTTTAAGCGACGTCGTACGTCGTGAGCTGTTTTTCACTTTTCAAGATGGCGGCTTCACCATCGCCTTCATTGAAACTCTTACTCTCAACACCGACATTATCGTCAAGACCAAGCTCCAGGTTTGACTTTACCAAGTCCCACTTCAAAGCAGCGTTTGGTCTAAAAGAATAATACATAAGTTTAATGGTTAGCTTTAAAAAAAGAAAAAAGTAACTGGAATTATGTTTTTAACTTACAGGATTCGCAAAGCTGGTTTTGCTATTCGTTATACTTTTGAGGAATTCATAAACAGATATTATGTTATTATGAAGGATTTAAAGATACCTCGAACTGATCCACGGGAGATGTCAGAGACATTAGCTAAAAGACTTCTTCCTGATGTTGAATGGACCATAGGAAATCGAATGATATTCTTAAAGGTGGGTTAATCACTACACTTTGATTAAATATCCTCCCTTAACCCAACATTTTAGTCAAAGCAGTGCTTATAGTGAGAAGTTCGTGTTAGCGTTGAGTTAGGGGAGAGGTAGTTAAGAAGTTTCCCAGAATCTTATACTGATCGAAACAATTTTGTGCCTATCTTATAACTGGTGCAATTTCACTCCGTTAAATGAAAGCGTGTTCAACGGAAAATTGTATAAGTGTAAATGAGTCTTGAGTCTAGTAAAAAAGTTTGAATCTCTCGGATTTACTCCCGGTAACTGCTCTGATAATACGTACGGTACATATAGTGACAAACCTAAAACTGAATAAATGCTAACCATTTTGAGTCAGTGCGTTGTTAACCC